AAATATCAAAAATACACTGCTAAACTCACTCTCACTATTTTTTTTATTGCATTTCCATTTGTAGCTTTAGTTTAATTTTTCAGTCTTTTGCCATTTTTTTCCCATTTTAGTTAACAGAAATGTTATTCATCTGAATTTACGTTAACAAAAATAACCTTGTGTTATACAACAGCCCTGCTTTTCTATTCCTCTCTGCAGTTGGTCCGGCACAAAGTAGCTTAAAAGGAGACTTCACAGTTGTATAGTTAATGGAAAGACTGAAGCATAACTGGCATTATATAGTAGCTGTTTAGGAGCTTTTCCGCCTGCTCTTGTGATAATATTCCAGCAGCGCATCGTTATTTCCTGGTGTGCGTGCCTCTGCTTAAGCACCAATGGCCAAAACAAATGTGCTACGGACAAGCGCTAATGAAAAAAAAAAAGAGATACTAGCTAGAGCCTGGAGTGTCAATAGTAGACGGACCTTGTTGTACTCCATGTGCAGCTTCTCCTGCTCAGTCTCCAGCTTGTCTTTAAGGTTCTTCTGCTCCACAATGTTGTCCTGGATCTGAATCATCCTCATGTTCCGCTCTGAATATCAACAGACACGAACAAATCGATACTGAGATTGCTATCAGAGTACAGGAAAAAGTATATCAAAGGAAGATTGAGGGAGAAAGTGTGAAAAAAGAGGAACGTTAAGAGAAAAAGAGGGAGAGAAAGTGCGCTGATAGAGGATAGGCCTCCTGCTAGAACCTAATGGAGTGTGTGCCCAAGGTTACTCTACACATCTGCTCTTAACATCACTCATTTGGAGGGCAAGTGCCTAGCTGCAAGGCTACAGAGCGGGATGCATGTCTCACGATCACTGTCTGATACCGCCTGCTGTTCCGCAGGCACATTCAAATATGTTAGGGACAGCAATTCACATGCTGCAAATGCATCATTGCTAGTTTTGCCCATTAAAATGAAAAAGCGAAAAATATTATCATAAGAGGGTTGAGAAATGCTGATTCTAAAAAAATAGATCATAGGCCTGATGAGTTAAAGGGTTAGTTCATCCAAAAATGCAAATTAGCCCATAAATTACTCACCCTCAAGTCATCCTAGGTGTATATGACTTTCTTCTTTCGGACGAATCCAGTCGGAGTTATATAAAAAATTGTCTTTGATCTTTCAAACTGTTTCCTGGCACTCAGCGGGTGTTGCATGCTTCAGTCCAAAACAAGTTAAATAAAAAGCTCCCATCCATAAAAAAAAATGTCTCACACGGCTTCGGGTGGGTTAACAAAGGCCTCCTGTAGCGAATCGATGCGTTTTTGTTTTGAATGCGATGTGATCCTTCACACTGAAACAGAGCTCAGTTTGAACAACCTTCTCTACTCCCTCATACGAGGAACTGTGCGCACCATTTTGTTGATTCACAGGCGATTGCACAACCTGGACTGCAGGAAATGGGCAGAAAAAAAGAGGGAATGACATTTTCTTTTTTTGTTTTGTTTTACTGGGTTCTTCTAGATTTCAAGCTGCTGTTTTGAGGGTTATTTTGCAGAATTGATACGGCATTGTTACTAACATTATGCGTATGCGATGAGTGTCAAACAGGCTGAATGATTGTTTCTCATCTGTTGATGTTTTGCTGTTAGCATTCTCAGTTTTGTCAGCTCATCTTTGATGGTTTATGATTCTGCCCAGGATGATGGATCAGATTCTGTCATAACTGAAACCTTTGAGACTGATATACTAGCTCATTTTTCATTCTTGATAGTTTTTTTCCTTCTTTTTTTCCCCTCAGATGGGAATGATGGGTGCTCCAGGCCCCTACAGTAGTTCATATGGTCAGTGCGGAGGACAGTCCCTTGGGCCTCAGCTCCAAAACAAAGCGGGACAACCCAACAGCATTAACCAGTTCAACATGGACAAGAAACCTCAGCATGGGCAGAACATGGGTGGCATGGTGAGAGAACTGTACAGAAATTGTCACCGCAAACCACATCCACACACATTCCCTGACCCTCTCTGACTGAGGAGATTTAATTCCATCGGTCTGAAGAGCCTTCAGTTATCATTTCCCCTCAGACCTCAGCCAGTGGTTCATCCCACAGACACTGAACTTGTCGATTGATTATTTCTAGGTAGTCACAAAATTTGTTTCCCCAGATTTGTGCACAATTTGAGAGGTCATTATTTGTGAAATTCCACACATCACTACCCCCATAATCTTGAAAATGCTTTGAACAGTGATGCACTGCAATGGAAATTTGACTCACTAAACTAAAAGACAAAATCAAAGTGCTTTTTTTTTGTTTTTCTCGTCACAGTTAATGTGTATATAAGCAATTACGCCAACTTACATAGGTTAGTGTGACTTTTTATCTAAAATAGTCCCACATTTAATTTAAAAATTACATACTTTTAGAATAAACTTTAAGACACAGCTCTTGCTTTACTGACATACTTACACATACTTAACACTCTCAAGTTGATTTTTATGCAATAAAAGTTGTATTTGCATGGACAAGAGCTGCATCCCAAATGATACTCTATGCACTTATACACTATGTACTTATGCATTATGTACTTATGCACTATGTACTCAACCATGTAGTGTATTAATTATATAAGGTTATTTTTGTCATTCATAATCAGAGTCTGATAGTCCCTCCCCCTTCTCTACGTAATTAAAGCTGCGGCAGGTGAATGCATGAAGTGTCCATCATTTCACACTTCGTTTTTTCAGTTATTTAAGTGCATCATCCGGGTATTTAAAGTGCACGTTTTCTTTTTGGAATTTTCAGTGAACGCACTACTCGCACTATTTATACTACAGAACGTCACAGACTAGTGTGTAATCTTCTTAGTCGTCTTAGTAAAATAATAATTCATAATGTCATGCTTAAATGAATCCATGTTAAAGATCTGTTAAAGTTGGAGATACTTCCGACCATTTTTGACAGCCACAATTTTGGTACATCCCTAGTTTTGAATAAATGTTATTTAAATAAAATGTATATATAATATAATAATTTCTGGCAAATTAGTTTGATTTGTTTTTCTTGTTACAAGTACAATTGCAGTATTCTCAGTAACACATTTTACCATATTAAAACTAATCTGCAGAATCTAAACATTCAGAATCTTAAAATATGGAAAAAGATTCTGCAGGTTTTGCATTTAGATCAGTTTTCACAAAAATATCAACACAACCGTTTTCAACATTGATAATCATATTAGAATGATTTCTGAAGATCATGTGACACTGAAGACTGGAGTAATGATGCTGAAAATTCAGCTTTTTATGATGGGAATAAATTACATTTTAAAATAGAAAACAGTTTAAATTGTAATAACATTTCACAATATTAGTGTTTTCACTTTATTTTTGATCAAACAAATGCAGCCTTGAGAAGCATAAGTGTGGGGGCGGGGGGCTTACCAACCCCAAAGTTTGAGTGATAGTGTATTTTCCAAAGCCATTACAATAATGCTTAATGTACACAGTCATACATGTACTTCATCATTTATTCTGGGAGGGACAATAGAACAATGGAACAAGAAGCTGAACTATGGGCTTCTTTAGCTTGGTTGAAATAATTTAAATTTTAAAATAATATGGTATCATTAGTATTGTATTTTGTTTCAAATTAGTATGAAATGCAACATGATTAACAAATCCTCTTAAGTTTGGTCATGGACCAATTCCCTTCTGTTGAAAAACCTGCTTGAAACGAACACTGGTCAACCTGGGTGTTAATTTGGCAATTCCTCAAACAACCAATAAATTGAAAGAAACAAAAACAACACCAAAAACAACAACAACAAATAACAATAAAACTGTTCAATGTCTTGCAAAATCAGAGTGATGTCTAGAGTGATGTCTAAAAGCATGAAAAAAATTATTGGCTGTGGTGCAAAACCTACTTCTTAAAATGCGCGCAACTTGGACAAATGTGAGGGAAAGGCTGAAGTCTTTAAGAACAAAATCTCTGAGTGATTTGATTAAGGTTATTTCAAGATATTTCCCATCATCTCAAATACCTCACTATTGTTAACATGGCACAATTGCTGCAGGTTTCATTTTAAGTGCTTGTGTGCTCTAGATGCCTGATAATTCTAATGTACCATTTGATTACGGGGGAAACGGGAGTATCTTCTGAAATACAGGCTCATGCTTTCTGGCTGTTGGGATAATGATGCCCAGCGCTCCAGATTTTTATAGACCATCGGTGTCTGCGCATTCTCTGATAGCTGTGATAAATAGCCAGTCACAAAAGGCCTGTAAAAATCCCCCTCCCTTTTAAAGGACAAGTACATTTTGCAGAGAATGTGGGAGCTGAAGCTGGGGGGGCAAGACAATGACTGATGTAAGGCTGGCGGGATTTTTCCAGGAATGGACGGGGACTGCAGATCTGCCTTTCTCAGAAACAGCTTTCTATGGAAGGGGAGAGAATCTTAGAACAATGTCAGCCTATTTCAGCAGTTTCAAATCTCTGCAGCTGAGACGTTCGCAGCAAGTTTCTCTTGCTGAGCTCACATCTCCTTGTCACAAGCATAGCATTTCTCCCCCTCCCTCGAGGGCGCAGCCATTTTCCGTCATCCACAGAATCATTTAGGCTTAAGGTGTCTCGCTGGATGCTATCAGCCCACTCACCTGTTGATATGAGGCCCTTTGCACAGCTGACTGAATTAAGTGGATTGCAGTGAGTAGGCACTTTCGCCAGTGTTTATCTGTGCTGAACGCCACCATCATATGCTTCTCCAATATGGACTGCATATTTGAGCCATGAGGCTGATGGTCTGTGACCACGGCCTGGGCTGGGAATTTGTTCAACTGGATGACCTGCTCTCATGCTCTGAGCCCTCTCTTTACGCTTATAGGTATCTGTTTGATAAACTCTCGCACATGCACTTCAAATGTGCATGTGAAAAACACGTGTTGACAGAGAATCAGAATCTTCTTAAAGGAACAGTTCACGCAAAAATGAACATTAATTCACCCTTAGGCCATCCAAGATGGAGATCAGTTGGTTTCTTCTTCGGAACAGATTTGGAGAAATTTAGCATTATGTCACCTGCTCACCAATGGATCCTATGCTGTGAATGGGTGCCGTTAGAATGAGAGTTCAAACAGCTGATAAAAACATCACAATAATCAAATTCATCATTAAGATGTTTTTAACTTCAAACTATTGCTTCTGTCTTAATATGTGTCCTCTGTTCATAATATTGCTTTCTCCAATGAAAAAGCCACCTAATCTTAGTACCATGCAACTGTTTAAGCATGGAAGAAAAGTGGTTATACATCTGCTTGGAGAGCCTGTGAAGTTGATTACATTAATAATGTATTTAAATGTCAAAGTTACCTATATAAAAATATCCTTCACAGTAAAGTGAGAAACCGCGTGATGTAAGAATTTTTTTTTTGCATTTTAAATTTAAAACAATTCGCTGAAATTATGAAAAGTCCATCCCCTGTTGTCCGCTTACATTTAGTCCATCAATATATTTGCACAAGACATTATTTGATGGACTGGAGCTGTGTGGATTACTTGTGGATTATTGTTATGTTTTTATAAGATGTTTGTACTCTCATTTTGACGGCACCCATTAACTGCTGAAAAGGATCTACTGATGAGCAGGTGATGTAATGCTAAAATTCTCCCAATTTGTTCTGATGAATAAACTAACTTTTATACCATATATAAGTCAAATGGACCATTTTTATGATACTTTCATTATGATGTTGTCATTTTAGAGCTTGGTTACCCCAGTCCTCATCCATTTTCATTACAGTAAAAATAGTTCCACAGAAAGAAGTCAGTCCAACAGGTTTTGGAACAAATGTGGGTGAGAAGTAAAAATTCAGTATTTGCTTTGAAATGGATTTGAGGATTTTTATTTTTTGAGGAATCCTTTAAAAAGAGTTAGATAAGAGCTGGAATGTTAAAATCATGACTCTAAACATTACAAAGCTGGCATCACAAGAATGCGACTGTGGGGAAGTTGGAGAAAAACATGAAATAATGCAGTTCAAAGAGGATGACCACACACTGACCTCTTCTGCAGCAGCTTCAGACAGCAGCCCTTCTCGTTGAGCACACGTAACGTGGAAGAACGAGCGGCACATTCCGGCATCACAGCTGATGCAAACACCTGTTCGAGCAAAGCGTGTGTCTTCGCACAAACTGCACTCCTGTAAACCATTAACCCAAACAGGGCATTGTGACAACAGCAAATGACAGAAAACTACTAAGAAAATATGACAGGGAAAACTTTCTAGCATTTACTAACTTCACATCTTCTTACTTTCCCTCTAAAGGATTATTTCTATTTTTGCAAAGTCAAGAAAGGTAAACCGAAAGCTGATTGTGTAACACAGCTTTAATATGAAAAAAAAAGATCTTTAAACACCATTATAACAGTCCCACATTCATTTACTGTATAGTTCTATATTTAAGACAAGGTGGACAACGAGTCTCTAAAAGCCCATTTGACTTTCTCCAATTACTGGAGTTCAAAATTAAAATAATAATAGCCTTTCTCTAGGAGTAATTTCTTTTCACATGTACAGCACAAACCATTAAAGAAAGCCTTTCAAGTGCTTCTAAAGTAATTTGCTTCCCAGTAAAAGGAACCTCTTCTGACTTACTGACACATAAAATAATGTCAGATAGAGTAAATGTCAAAATGTCTACAGTCGACAGAAATTCTTGGGAGGGAAGTGAAAGATGCCCTTTGCTCAGAAAAGGAAATCAGCATTTCACATCTTTTATCAGAAATGTATTTTTTATTTTTTTTTTTTTTAAATAAAGTGTCAAGACAAAAACAGAAAGAAAGAAAACAGTTTTTCAAGCACCAATTAATCAGCCATTTGTAAATCTGTGATAATCTAACAGTGATAATATGATATAAAGGTATACATATATTCATATACACTACCGGTAAAAAGTCTGGAATAGGAACATTTATTTTTTTATAGAAATTAAATGAATACTTTTAATCAGCAAGGATGGATTAAATTGATCAAAAGTGACGTAACCCAATTTCTAATGTTAAATCCTGTTCTTCTGAACTTTCATTTTAAATTTTGGGGGGAAAAAAACAACAATTATTTGGTTTCCACAAATATCGTTTTTATGTTTCTTGAGCAACAAATCAGCATATTATCTGCAGCTAATCCAGAACGCTGCTGCCAGAATTCTGACTAGAACCAGAAAATCTGAGCATATTACACCAGTCCTCAGGTCCTTACATTGGCTTCCAGTTATATTTATGATTGATTTTAAAGTACTTTTACTCATTTATAAATCACTCAATGGCCTAGGACCTAAATATATAGCGGATATGCTCACTGAATATAAACCTAACAGACCACTCAGATCATTAGGATCGAGTCAGTTAGAAATACCAAGGGTTCACACTAAACAAGAGGAATCCGCTTTCAGTTATTATGCCACCTGCAGTTGGAATCAGCTTCCAGAAGAGATCAGATGTGCTAAAACATTAGTCACATTTAAATGCAGACTCAAAACTCATCTGTTTAGCTGTGCATTTATTGAATGAGCACTGTGCGATGTCCGAACTGATTGCACTATATTATATGTATAATAATTTTCTATTCTTAACTGTTTTAAATTCATTTTAAACCTCTTAAATCAATTTTTAAATCATTTTCAAAGTTTTTAAATTCCTTGTTTTATTGTTGTGATTATTTTTATTATTATTATTTCCTTTTATTTTCTGTAAAGCACTTTGAATTACCATTGTGTATGAAATGTGCTATATAAATAAACTTGCCTTGCCTATTAGAATGATTTCTAAAAGATCACGTGATACTGAAGTCTGCTTACCATCATATCAAATTACCATTAATTACATTTTCAAGTTAAAGTTCTATTTTTTACAGTATTTCTGATCAAATAAATGCAGTCTTGGTTAGTATAAGAGACTCGTGGTTCAAAAAATTATACCAACCCCAAACACTTGAAGAGTCATATTGTGTATTGTATATTTCATAACATTTTAGAATTTAACAGTCTGGTGCACTTTGCTGCAGAATAATAATAATAATAATAATAATAAAAAAAGAATAAATATTGGTAAGTTGATCAGTAGTGGTTGATGTTCAAATACTGATTATCATATTGGCTTGCCACTATTAATAACCTGTTCTTGAGGTAATGTTAGTTTATTTTTTAGCTGTCTGTCATAAGTAACTTTTGGTACTTGCCTTTGCTCCATACTTTGAGTAGTTCATCTCTGTGAGTGTCACAGGTCGCAGCTTGTCAATGTCTCCAAATGCGACCCCTGGAACGTAAAGGGCACACACCACGTGCACCCACCTTCAGCAGAACAAAGCAAAGTTGAGCATTCATCCATAATATCTATTTTTACAATTATCATAGTATAAGGACAGTTCCTTATTCACTTCATGTGCTGAATAACAAATCATATGTTCGTTAATGAAATTAATTCAGAGGTCCACCATTAGCAGAACAAAGCAGCATCTAGTTAATGGTAGACTATTCACTATTCCCTGAATAACTGCTATAACCATCAAGCCATTCAGAAGAGGTTCAAATGTACTCTCTAACTTGACCATTCGGTGTGACAGAATTTCAAATGCAGACTTTAGGAAGTCCAATATAAAGATATCCATCTTTGGTGAGCGCACGCTCCACACTTTAATTTGCTGTGTTTTTCATGCTCTAGTGAAGTAGTAAATTTGGGTGCAGGCGGGCTGAGGAGCACTATCAGTGATAACGTGGCTTGAGTCTTCACGCTTCAGACGCCTCTCTCTTCCTCTCCCTCTCTCTCAGCCCCATCCCTCTCTCCCTCCAAGCCAAATCCACCACTTCTTCTCTCCTTCACTCATCCTGCATATACCTGTGCCTCTTCAAGTACTTCACTTATTTAGCATTTTTCCAGCATCTTAGCTCAGAGGGTGGTATAAAAACTTTCAACAGATATACAACAATTAAAGGAGTAACTCAAACATGAAAGGTATGACAAAGATGGCTGTGCCTTTAATGAGTGTGCTAATGATGACAAAGGATAATATCAGACCAAGCATCGGTTCAAACTCACCTCCCCGCATCAGTTTCTTTGAAGATGCCGTCCTGACTGGGACAGAGCTCACAGCTGGGTGTGACGCCATTCTTGCACGCGTCACAGAACCACGGTTCTGTCGAGTTCTCCGAGGCCGAACTCATGATAGAGTCACTTTCACCATCGACACCATAACAACCTGTGAAAAAAGAAAAAAAAGAAAGGCTGTTTCTCAATTCCAAGAATGCAAAGAACAGACTTGTGTTCTCGTGGAGACCGGTTTTGCCAGGCTGCCTTGAACGAACGAACTCAGAAGGACGCGAGAAAACAGAAAGCATCCTTGTGAGAATTGAGATGTGCTGTGATCTTGCTGCTCAACTGACAGTCTAAGCAGGTTATAAGGAGGGAGACTGCAGCACTCAATGCAAAATAAATAACAAAACGTCACAAACAAATGTCTTAACGCTTTTTAAACATTTAGTTAATTTTATTATAGACAATATTTTCATATTATTTTATAGCTTTTTACTGTATGTATTTGTGAAAATGATTAGGCTATGTATAATGTTATATATTCTTTGCCAATGTTAAAATTATTTTTAATTTGCCAATAAAAATTGCGAGAGGCTTTCTCACTTTATTAAAATTATGCAAAACAAAACAACAAATGTTTACTTTAACGAGTCGTCACATATTTGTGAGCTAGCAGTGGTAATCTCTAAGCGAGAATGAGAAGCTTACAGGCTTCCGTTCGTCATTCGCACGCAGCGTCTTTTGGGATTTCCTACAGTTCGATTCTTTCAAGTCTGCATTCGGTGCATCCTCGATTTCAAGAACACATCTGAGCACTTTCATGTGTCCTCTGTACTTGCGTTCTTGAGTATCGGAAATGACAGTTAATGATGGTTAATGCGCGAGAACACAAGAGATTGCATAAGAATGCATATTGAGAAACGGCCAAAGTCAATGTTGAGTACTAAATATTACTGATGGCTCAGTTCTTCTTATAAAGTTGTTACATTGTAAACTATTCACAATCAAAAATACTGAATATGTGCAGTACATGCACAAATATGCATATATTGAAAACATTTGTGCTACTTAAAATTTCCGCGGTAACCGTAATATTTTTTCTAGGAATGATGAATAGAAAGCCCAAAATAACAATTTATTTTAAAATGAGATCTTTTAGATCTATTTAGATCTATTTAATATATTTTAGATCTATTTATATCTATTTAAGATCTTTTAGATCTATTTAGATCTATTTAAGATATTTTATATCTTTTAGATTTTTATTTAAAGGGATACTCCACCCCAAAATGAGAATTTTGTCCATAATCACTTACCCCCATGTCGTTCCAAACCCGTAAAAGCTTAGTTCGTCTTCAGAACGCAATTTAAGATATTTTGGATGAAAACCGGGAGTCTTGTGACTGTCCCGTTGACTGCCAAGTAAATTACACTGTCAAGGTCCAGAAAAGTATGAAAGACATCGCCAGAATAATCCATCTGCCATCAGTGGTTCAACCGTAACATTATGAAGCAATGAGAATACTTTTACTGTCAATGAGAATACTGTCGCGGCTGACAAAGAATAGCGTACGCAGTTTGCGTTCAGAGGATATTCAGCGGATATTCTCCAAAATGGCACGTACAAAAAGTATTCTCGTCGCTTCATGACGTTATGGTTTGGAACCAAGTGATTTTTTTTAGGTAGGAATGTGAAAATGTTGGTAGGGCCATTTAAAATCTAAACTACAGCATAAAATAACCTTAGTGCTAAGCTGACTGATGTAGCAAGCGTGCATGACAAATGTCAAAAAACCAAGAAATCTAGAGCACAGAATGCTTTTGTTGCTAAAACTTTTTCCCAGAAAAAGCTAATAATAAGGCCATTTGATCAAATGGTAGCATCACAAGTCAAAGATGGAAGCATTGGGCCAACGAAAGCATTTTAATGCTGTCCCCTTAATTTTCTCAGGTCGCCAAGACAATTACTGTGCTGATCAGGTTACAGTACCATGACACCTATTACACTCAGCAAACGTGCTCCATGCCACCAATAAGGAGAGCAATCAGCTCCTTCTCAACACTGCAGAGATAACATTCCTGTTCCTAATACAGCAAACCAGCCCCCAGGCATTGGAGAAATGGAGAGAGAGACAAGCAAATACAAGTTCAGGTATTTGCATACTCACCACAAAAGACCCAAACAGCAAAATGTGCAGAGAATGCTTAAACATGGCTTTTCTCTTGAGTCCCAACCAGCAGGCTAAAACTTCTAGGTTTGTGGTGATAAACACAGCAGAACTTGGGAGCGGTAGATATTAAAGCAGAGGGGGAAAATTAGTGTGTGCAATTTCGTGAAGTAAAATATGTTTATGGTTGCCAGAATCATCAAGGTCACTTTTCCCAAAAAGAAACACAGGTAACCCTAGGGCACGTGAAGAGCGCACCACTAGTGGGAGCAAATAAGAGGCTTTCGTATCCTCATCTTGCTGTCATTTTGAACCAAGCAGTAATGGGTGCCATTACGATGCCCAGCCTGACATTTATTTTCTTAAAGAAAGGTATTATGGGAACACTGCTGGCAACAGTTGGGTGTGTATTACTGACTGGGCTTTGAACCATGGGGCTGAAGCTCGCAATGATCAGTTTGCTGGTTTAACGGACTTACTGCTGAACCGTCAAGCAAATCTCCGATGTTCCTTTTGAACTCAGATACAAAGCTGGACCTGCTAAGCCACAGGGTGCTGGCTAATATGAGCTAAGCTGGAAAAAACTGATGACTATAGGAGAGCTTCATAATCCCTGAGGAGAAGATTATCCTTGTCAGAAATGACGAGCTTGGCAGTTAAAGAGCGACCTGGGAAAGGGTGGTGACAAAATCAAGAGGAACGCTTTTAAGATTTAATGGAGGAAGGTTCAAGATTGGCTTCAGAATGAGTTAACAGGCTAGGCTGATGTGTGTCAGAGTATAACTGAAATCAGACAATGAGGCAAAGACTGCTGGTATTGTGTGTGCGTGTGTTCTTCAACAATCTATTGGTTAGGTGTTCAACTTCACTCTTATGATTTGCAAATAATGTCGGTATGCAATAATTTATCTGCACACTATAAAAATTACAGCGAGTTGGTTTATTTGCATCTCTAATAGCCAAAGGGAACAAAATAACTTCATTACAGTTCTGACATCAAGCAAATGATTCCTTGAAGAGATTGTGATATATTTGCACAAAGGTCTTTAATTTATTTTATTTTTTTAGCAAAACTTGCAATTAAAGTCATCTACAGGCACCTACAACAGAATTGAACCAGTATCCACAGTATCCACGTTTAAAGGCTGCAATGTGAATAAGATATTTTTGAGGTACGATTTGTTTTTCAAATGAGCTAATATAAGCAAATATGCTCATTTAGGCTGCATTGATCAATAATACAATTAAAAAGCAGCAATATTGCGAAATATTATATTACTATTAAAATAACTGTTTTGCATTTTAATATATTTTAAAATGTAATTTATTCCTGTTATAGCAAAGCTGAATTTTCAGCATCATTACTCCAGTCTTCAGTGTCACATGATCCTTCAGAAATCTTTCTAATATGCTGATTTGGTGCGGTCTTGCTCATATGAATGTTGCTCTAAAGAATAGCACTAATTTTAATCTTTTAAAAAATTTGTAACAATGCAAAAGTAATTGTAATGATATAAAACTCCTTACTGTCACTTTTCATCAATGTAATCCATTATTGCTCAATAAATAGTTCTTTAAAAATAAATAAGTAAATCTTACTGACACCAAACTTTTAAATGGTAGCGTTTTCTTTCATGAAAAATTTAAATTATTTAATTAAAAATAAGTTGTCAAAAATGTTAAGTAAATAATTATGTGGCTATGCTATACTTGTGACTATAACTAGTGTATTTTAAAGTTTATTGCAAGACTCTGTTCACTTCTAAAAAAAAAAAAAAAAAAAAAAAGAGACAAGTCAAATTTTTTTTCGGGGGTAATCGTAAGTTGTCAAAAATGTTAAGTAAATAATTATGTGGCTATGCTATACTTGTGACTATAACTAGTGTATTTTAAAGTTTATTGCAAGACTCTGTTCACTTCTAAAAAAAAAAAAAAAAAAAAAAAAGAGACAAGTCAAAATTATTTTCAGGGGTAATCACCAACTGCAACTTTTACTCCATGAAGCCAGAACATTGCTTTAATATGAAGTTCTTTGACTCTTTCTGTCTTTGTCAAATGATTAATGAGTAAACGTTCAGTGCAGCGATGTATTTCAATTATATTCACTCCGTTTCTTCCCTAAATGCTAATATTTTTCATCCAGGATGAAGTCGATTTATTCAATAGCTCAAATATTAGCCAAGTCAGCATGCAAAGTAGGACCACAGAGAGGAACAACAGAATCGAGTCGGGGGCACAGGAATGAATGAATAGGGCCAATTAGAGCCCAGAGACCTGGCAGATGAGAAAGAGAGAGAGGGAAAAAAAAAGATGAGGTAAAAGCTACGAATGGTAGCTGCCATGATGTAAATCAGCAAAACTGATTCACAGTTACTAAAAAAAAAGCCTTTTGAAAACCAGCACTCTCTCTTTCACAAAACAATACAATCATTTTCATAACCAGCAATGCGTGGAATAAATCATTTCCTCATTAAGAGGTGAGTGAAAAGAAATTAAATGAAAAAAATTCAAGGTTCTATCAAACCAGATAACATTTTAATTTAATACTTGTTTAATTCTGTGAAGCTGGTTTTGTACTGGGATGAAACCAATGTGATTCAGCAAGGCACCTTTTTAAGAACAAAGGCTTGAATTTGCTTAATAAATCGGGTTTATTCAGCAGTGTTTGAAATGCTTTGTTCCAATAGTCAATGAAAGTCAAAAGTGTTTTCACTACTCCGGCATGTAGCTATTGAACACATTACATACTTAACTACTGCATATCATAAAACAACCAAATGTTACAACATTTCACAATGAGATACTTTTTATTTAAACCAAATCAAACTATACAGTTCAATAACCACTCCTGAAGCACCCCGGGTTAAGAGCATTTCTAAAAGCACAACGGTAAAACGTTTTTAGGTCCTTTCACATCCTTTCCAAAGGATTCAAATCTTAGACATTTAAATCTGATTATTTTTAGCCATTCAGATATGAACTTGATTCTGTGTTTTGG